TGTTTATATATATAAAGTTGAAGTCAAAAGGATTAGCCTTCCACAATGTTTCCTTTAATATTTTTTCTCCTGGAAAAAATTCTTGTTTTTTTTCGGCTAGAATAAAATCAGTTTTTACATTTTTTAAAAATAACTTTAAGGTCAATATTATTAGTTCCCTTAAGTAATTTTTTTTTCAGATAGTCTACAGAACAAACCCTATTTACTGTATAAAATGACTTGTCTAATTACCCTAACTTGCCTAATTAAGACACTTTAATCTAAATACTAGTCTCTTGAAAAATATCTAATATAATATTATGTACTGTCATCATGGCAAAGATTAAAGAAATCAGATATTTGAAATGAGTTATTATGTAATTATGTGTTATTATGTAAACTATTATGTTTAGAAATGCATTGGAAAAACAATCTCTCCGTTATAAGGAAACTGGGGAAAAAATATACAGGGGGGCTAATAATTCTGACTTCAACTGTTTATACTTTTGCATTTAATCATTCATGCACCAGACAGTGAATCAACAGAAAAGGAACAATATTTAAGTGCTTTAACAAGTCCTTGTTCTTGTACAATACATGTAGAAGTTTTATTTTTATTTATTTATTTTTTTACAGGGGTCATGAACTTAGAAGTGAAAGTTATTTTGCACTATTCATATAAAATGGTAACTGTTCAATAAAAGCATCTGGTTAAAACTTTTTTGTTAATCAAACAGTTTATATTAAAACCAGTCTGCCTAAATGACAAGTCGTGAATGTACAAATGCATCACAGTGTTATAGTGTGGCTAAATCTCACAGCTCAGAACAGCCTGTTACTTCTAATTTATGGTGTTTAGGCTTTATAGTATTACAAGTAAATAGAGTACTAAAATGATAAACGCTGATAAAAAAATGTCTCTTGGAAATGACTGAAGTTAAGGTCTTTAGGTTGAATTGGGCAGGTCATTTGATTTCACCAGCAGGGAACAGACTTACTTCCTTACTAATTAAATTGCAATACATGAATTTTATTTATTTATTTATTTATTTTTAAAATGCCACCACAGGCCTGCCAGGAGAGACTAATCAAAATTAGAAACTTTTACAGTAGCATAATGGGGTACTTTATTGTCTTCTGTTTAGAGCCAAACAAAAAAGTATCGTTATTGCAATAGTGATGCAATAAATTACTTCTTTCTTTTTTTTCCTTTTTTTTTTTTTTAAGTGATGCACCAAAATTTCGCTTTAAACTCAGGATGCCTGAAGTGCAATGCTATAACCATTGTCTTACTTATGTGAATTTGGCAGATGGAGACTTACTTTGTTTATTCCCACCCAGTTGGTGCTCTTTTGCTATAGCCAATATTTTAAAATAAACATTAAAAATATATTTATTTTAGTATGAGTATTACATAAATACGTAAAAAAATAAAAATTATATATATATATATATATATATATATATATATATATATATATATATATATATATATATATATATATATGTATATATACTTACAGGAAGAAGGTAGCTGATTCGAGTCCCGGCTGGGTCAGTTGGCATTTCTGTGTGGCATTCCCGTTACCTTCGCGTGCCCCCTGAAAACAAATGTTTATTCAAAAGGTTAAACATGAAAAAAATCAGACAAATTAACATCCTATTACTTTGTTATGCTTTGCTTTTTGGCCTAGTTAAAGTTTAAAACTGAACTTCAGTAACACTTTGTTGCATTGTTCTTGCTGTTTTTCTTCAGGTCTTGTTGGCCAGAACACCAAAAGCTCAAAAACAAAAGCTCCTCTCAAGAAGTTTAAAGGAAACGAGAAAACAACTCGTCTTGTTCTGCTGGATTGTTGTCAAGCTGCCTATTAGACTTTGTTATCTTGCAACTAAATCTATAAATGCTGAACTGAAACTCGCAAATCGAGCAAAATATTTTTTTTTTACATGTGGTTTATTTACAAAAATAATCGCATGTTCTCCATTTACTCATTCAGTATGCAGTTTTATTTTTTGGCTGTACTAGATTGGAACAGCACTATAGTGTGATTAAATACTGATAGATTTTTCAGTTTTGGGTGGACTGTGCCTTTAACAATGGTAGAATGTGTTGATCAAACTTTAGATGTCTGCAGTTATAATCAACATGCTTCTTCTGGTTCAAAGTCTCAATGTAGAAAAGTCTCTGAAGAGCTCCTTATTTAGAAGAGCTCCTAATACTCTGCAAGAATGTTATACTGTATCCAACGCAGTAAGTGATAGACACCTTGTTTTAATATAGAGTGATAACATCAGTTCAAGCTGTTTTAGCCTCTTGTAAATGAAACTGCTTCTGTGGTTTATTGCACTGGTGGAACTGAAACTTGAATGAGCATTCAGACAAACATTAATGTTTTTTAAAGCATAGCTGTCAGCTTTTTTGCATCTTGTAAAAAAAGAAATCTATTCAGATTAATGGAAAATGTTAGATTCTATCTCATTCTGCATCTCAGATGCAGATTTTAGTTTCCTAAATCTTGTTTTATAAAATAATCTACCAAAATTAAGCTAAAATGAGCTAAATAATCTGCCTATGGGGTAAGCAAAATAATCTCCTTTTGTTTTTGACATAACATTATTTTGCTTATCACATTATCAGATTATTTAGCTTGTTTAAGGGAAAAAAACTCACTTTTTTGGCGTATTATTTCTGAAAACAAGACAATATTTTTTGCTTGTCTAGAAAATTATTCTTGATTTAAGACTTTTTAAAGATATTAGGGCTAATAACAAGACGGACAATCAAAGAAAAGCATTTATTTTTTTTTTTTGCGGGGAAGCAAATAAATTGATTGCATCCAAGCGGCAACCTCCCGCTCCTTCTTGGGAAGCCAATACGGAAGTAACTAAAACTGCAATTCATTCGAAATTCCGCTAGTCCTGGCCGCTCCTGGCTCCATAATAGAGCAAATTTCAATTAAGCCCACTGTTAGAATAGCCAGCTTTACAGCAGAAAAAAGGTGTTTACAGCCTGGTACAAAAAAAGATTTTGGTTAATACAGCTAATATTACCCTTCATGACAACTGTGAGGGGGGGAATTTTTTTATTACTCATCTGTTTCCTTTATATTAAGTTATATTGAGTTTGCATAATTAAGGGCGTGGCCACTTGAGTGACAGCTTGGTCTTGCTGGTCGCCGTCACGTCACCTCAGCTGAATCCTGCAGATTAGCCACTGAACTCTGCATATTTATCGTATTTCTGTGTTGTTTTATGTGTCTTTACACACTCAACTGCCTTTTGGACTTGTTTCCTACAATTATCATATAGCATGGCATGCTGAGTGCACTTAATTGTGCTTACAAACTATTCACGTGGGCTCCGTTTCCCATGTGAGTAAAGTTATATACTTATATACCATCTCTATACATGTATTTGTTTTATTTAAGATCATTTATCGTTTATATTTATATTTAGAGCTGTAATGCACTCCAGAATCTGAGGGATTGATTAGCTGTAGGCTCTAGAACAGTCATCTGAAGCGTTGTCATACAGTGTTATGCTGGATTTCATCAATAGTCTTGCATTTACTAACAGACTATATCTGAAGTGTTTGGAAGTATTTCACGTTTTCCTCCTGTTGAAAAACGTCAGAAGAACAATATTTAGTGGCTCAATGTATTACTACAGTATTTTTAAAAGTCTAAACACTTTATTGATATAGTATACAACCAAGCACATGTGGTCAGAACACAAACGAGTCACAGGTGATAAAGTATTAAGCGTTTCTCCCAAAGTAAAGTGTGTCTGAACCAGGTCCAAGCAAAATGCCAGCAGGTGTCTGTAGCTCCGCTCACTCTCCGCCTCTTTGCCCTTGTTTGGTATCCCGTTGTGAGTGCTATGACGCGCGAACAAAATGGCGAGGGTTGGCCGCGCCTACTTGTGGCTTCTTTTGCGTTCTTCAGAAACCTATGGATGACGTCACAGATACTACATCCATATATTTTACACTCTATGATTGCATTCAAGGCTGCTTATCTATCATGCATTATAAAGACCAATTAACCACCTAATATTAAGGCTGTCACAGCAAGAAGTTTGCTGGTTTGAGCCTTGGCTGGGTCAGTTGGCGTTTCTGTGTGGAGTTTGCATGTCCTCCACGTGCTCGCATGGGTTTCCTCCAAAGTCCAAAGACATGTGGTACAGGTGAATTGGGTAAGCTAAATTGTCCGTAGTGTATGAGTGTGAATGAGTGTGTGAGGATGTTTCCCAGAGATGGGTTGCAGCTGAAAGAGCATCCGCTGCATAAAAACATGCTGGATCAGTTGGCGGTTCATTCTGCTGTGGCGACTCCCAATTAATGAAGAGACTGAGATAAGAAAATGAATGAATGAAACTGTGATAAAATTTAAATCGTACATTGTTAATATGGCAAGCTTTTAAATGAATTTTGTAATTGGGAACAGTTGCAACAACATGTCCCAACCCTGTCATCCCTAATTAAACTGTTTATGCTTGGTAGATACATTAGCTTTAACACTTGATAGCTACACCTATACCTATGCCTGAATGAAGTGGTCACAGCTCGATTGTTTTGGCGTGAATCAGAATGCTGTTGCATGGTCCACATACTGTATGCCAAAGGAACCAAGTTAACGGGACAAACCCGCCAGGTTCCGAAACAAACATCTAGGTGTGAAAGCACCCCGAGTCAAAAGAGGTGTATGAAGTTCTGCTGTTCCTTGTCTTTTTTCCTGAAAATGGCGGAGCACCTAGCAACACAAAACATCAGCATTTATTTTAAAGCCTTGTCAGTTGAAACTCTTGATATGTGCTTTTCTGTGTAAATAGACACAGAGTTGATTTGTAAATTTGCCTTGTAACTTTATAAATCTTTTTCATGCTCAAACATCATGCATTAAAAAAACAGGGTGGTCATACGGCTCAATCTTGTTTTTTTCATAGATAATATATGGTGTATAATTCTTTTAAAGAGTTATATTTGATGTAATATCCTTCATTTCTTCATTATTTCTCTACAGGAGAGGATGATGAGCCACAGTAGCCTTCATGCACGAGGAAGAGATGTGCTCGGCCTCTGCTGTTTACCAGGTAAAGTCATACTATATTTATTTTATGCTGACACCTGATTTGTTTCATGTGTTTGACTTCTGAAGTCATTTACACTGATGCATGGAGTTTATTTATGTTTTGGGGTGGGAAAATATTTTCTGCTTACCAAAGCTGAAGTATCAAATATGTAAAAGCTGTGATATTGTAGAATATTAGTACGATTAAAGTAACCATTTTCTGTTGTATTCACTCCTTGCAAATTAGTTTTTGTAGCATAACTGCTTCAGTATCACATGATCATTCTGAAATCATCAATATATTTTGACCCTCATTTAAAACACTGTTCATATATATTTAGGTGTGGCATATATTTCACAATATAGTGATAGTCTTCTGCATCTTTTTCCTTGAAAGTTTTTCAGATTTTGAATTAAATAAAATATATAGGTTGGGGAGTATAAGTACTAAACACGTCACCATCTTTCTCAGAAAACATAAGAAGAAAGGGAGGTGTAGAAAGGCAGTGAAAGCCCAGACAGCAGCTGAAATCTCTCAGTTGCTTTTCAGCCACCCTCCGCCCTTCCTCAGTGTAAATGAATATTAGCCTATTCAGTCCAACATCTACATTGGCAGGAGGATAAAGATGAAACCAGGGTGGACATTTCAGGAAGACAATGATCCAAAACACAGTCAAGGAAACTCTTAGATGCGTTCAGAGAAAGAAAATAAGGCTGTAAAATGGCCCAGCCAATCACCTGATCTGAATCAAATAGAATTACAAATTAAAGAGCAGATTTGATAGAAGAGACCCACACCTCTTCTAAAACTCACACCTGAGCAATGCTTGTGGCTTTGTTCTCCATATGAGAGGCGTATTTTAGCTGCCATCACCAAAAAAGCCTTTTATATAAAGTATTAAATATGTATCAGTATTTCAGTAGTTTCTCCTTGTGTCATTTCATTGTCATTACACAAAACTAATTTTTCAGATTTTTTGTTTTGTTTTATTTTTAAGTGTGTATTGTTTGGGTTTTTCCCAAAATCTTGTTCAATTCCATGTTAACAGCTCCTTTAGAAGTATTATTCCCCGGAAAAATATGAAGTGTTCAATACTAATTTCCCCTTGCTGAATGTACATTTAAGAAGCTATTGTATTGTAAGCAGTGGTGGAAAGAGTACTCAAAAATCATACTCAAGTGAAAGTACCATCACTTGACTAAAAATGTAGTACAAGTAGAGTAAAAGTATCTGTTGTAAATATTACTCAAAGTAGGAGTAAAAAGTAGAATTTTCAAAAGTACTCAAGAGTAGTGAGTATTACGCTGTAAAAAGCTGATGCATTTACATGTCATTTGTGCATGTGTGTGTAAACGTAACATTCTGTAGTGCATTTAGTTATGGATTTAGTGCATTTAGTTATATTATAGATGTAGGTCAGGTGACAGAAATGGTGACGCAGTGGCGCAGTGGGTAGTGCTGTTGCCTCACAGCAAGAAGGTCGCTGGTTCGAGCGTCGGCTAGGTCAGTTGGCGTTTCTGTGTGGAGTTTGCATGTTCTCCCTGCGTTTGCGTGGGTTTCCTCTGGGTGCTCTGGTTTTCCCCACAAAGACACGTGGTACAGATGAATTGGGTAGGCTATATTGTCCGTAGTGTATGTATGTGTGCGAATGATTGTGTATGGGTTTCCCAGTGATAGGTTGCGGCTGGAAAGGCCTCAGCTGCGTAAAACAGGTTGACATGAGTCTACAACTTTGAAAAAACATGGTTTGACCAACTTGACCAACATCGTTTTGTCATTTAGAGCTATTCTATCAGCGGGAGAGTTTGTAGAAACATGTAACACGAGTACATGTAAACAACATGTAAACATGATGAAACTTCTTAACACGAGTACATGTAAACAACATGTAAACATGATGAAACATGTTAATACGAGTCCACAACCACAGCAAAGCACATTTTGTCTATCAAAGATAATAATACAGATGGTTTCATGTGTTGTTATGAACTGCTCAGTTAGATAGGTTGATTGATATGTGTGCTGAACATTTTGACTACACGAGTTCGAATCACATTGATGACATGTACACTATAATTATTTTTTAGCTTAATTTTGGTTATATACTGCTCTGCTACACAGATATTAAAATCAATCATGTTTACAGTGACACTGACAGCAAGTAATAAGAATCTTTATTTGGTATGGGCATGTTTTTTTGTTGTTAAAAAGTGACGAATCTGACAATTTGTTAACACGGTCACCAGTTAAACTGTAACACCATTTTTCCTTTTTGTGTATGTGTGAAAGGGGCTAATAACTTGCCTAATTACTAGGGATGTAACAATATTGTAAATACCGTCATACGGCAATAGTAATTTTTTTCAGTATTACCGTAGGCGCATGACTCAATAAAATGAATGAATGAAGCGAACGGGAGGTAGCTGGAACTACAATTCCTATCAGCCTAGGCGTGAAATATTGAAAAATTGAAGTTCCTGTTACAAAACTTAAATATAGATGGCTAATTTGTATGTCATTGATATGTTAAGCGCTAAGGTAAATAAACACTTTTGGCACTTTTTTCGAGTTTTTTCATTAGTTTTGTTTTTCCTGTAAATTATTCGATAAATATCATTCCGTGCCATTCATACCGAGGTATTACTTTACCGTGAAATTCTGATACCATACATCCCTACTAATTACCCTAACTCGCCTAATTAACTCATTAAAGCCTTTAAATGTCTCTTTAAGCTGTATAGAAGTGTCTTGAAAAATATCTAGTAAAATATTATTTACTGTCATCATGACAAAGATCAAATAAATCAGTTATTAGAAGTGAGTTATGAAAACTATCATGTTTAGTAATGTGCTGAAAACTACTCTCTAATAAGTGAAGTTTCATAAACTAATTTCGAGAGGAGCACGTGATATGATATGACCCCTGGCCACTCATCCGTAATCAGTAAAATTCAATCAGAATGATCCTAGATTAATATAAAGGGATCACTTTCTCCTTATTGCTCTGTCTTCATTTTGGAAGAATCCCCCCTTCCACCCCATCTCCGCCTTTTTTTTCTCCTCTTTTAAAGGGGGAGCAATCAAGACCTTCCTGATCTCGGTTCTCCTGATATGCTTCTAGACCGGGCGGGAGCCCTGGGCTCAATTATCTCCGAGCTCAGTGTTCTCTCCCGGGACAGCATGCCGAACTCTTGAAACAGAAATTGGGGAAAAAAATACACAGGAGGGCTAATAATTCTGACTTCATCTGATTTAAGTATTCACATATTGACTTAATATGTCCAGAGTGTTTGTTTAGTGCAATGTGACACACAAAAACAGTGGTGTAGTGTTCTAACAGGCGAGTTCGCTCTCTGGTGGAAAAAGCTGCAGTGTTTTGATAAATTAAATGCGCCACTGATCCCCTGCAGGTCTGAATGGTTTTGGTCGGTGCGGGAGCGTAACAGTGGGTCTGTGTGGGTGTGAACGGGCTCAGAAAACAATCGTTCAGTGTGTGTTGAAGCCCTGCAGCCCCTCGCCATAATCTCAGTGTCAGCAGAGTGTTTTAGCAGCAGCTTTACTCTGGAATGTTGGCAGACCGTGAGCTCGACCGAGACAAGCTAATCTGAAACGCTTCAGATCAGCACTTACACCCAGCGGCCCTCCAGGAGCGGCAGCGTTTATTAATGCCGCTTTGTGGTTATTCGGATCATATAGTCTCTGTTTAAACACCAGACACACACACACACAACTGTCTGCATTTCCCACCACTGTTTTACTTTTGCTTGCTTTCATTTCTGGACAGTGAAATTACAAAATGTTTACATTTTACATCAATTACAATTTTACTTTTTTTTTCTCAGTAATTTGACTTCTTTGAGCAGTATTAACTGAATTACTTTTCAATAATCTGCTGTGGCAGTATTTTTAATATAAATTCTTTAAAATGTAAAAACAGATGTGCTTATTGGCCGTAGGGATTCAGCGATTAACCAATTTCACTAATAACCGCGCTTTAATTTGTCACTGTTAATCATAAAGGCTTCTCAACACTGCGTTTCTGCATGGAACAAAACTGCTGCAACTAAACAAAAGTTGCCAACTGTGCGCTAGTTTAAAGTTCTAAGCTTGTATGCTAAGGCTAAACTATGGCTGAGGCTATTAACTAAGGGCCCTTCACATATTGCATCTTTTACGTGTGCAAGTTTGTTATTTCCAATGGAGAGGCGCAGCTTGTGCGCGCATATTGGGAGCGATGTGACACGACACACTTACGCTTTCCAGGCACACCTAGTTGAAAGAATGCCACACCGCAAGTCACATGACAAACTGGACTGGTCAGCTTCATACTTTGTATGGAATAAACATGGGAAAAAAATACAAAATGAAAAATGCCAAACAATTTTGTAATATAGTTGATCAGAAGATAGACGTTCAGCAGCCTTTGACTACATTTGTTCTCTTAAAAGGGAAGTACTTGGCTTATATGTAGCTTAGATTTACATTAGATAAATACTAGTTTTTTTTATTTAGTCTTATTTTTATTTATTGTTCTGTCATTTATTTTCAATGTAAAATTATAACTTGTTTAAATGACAACCCCTTTTTTTATACTTATTTTTAAGCCTAAAAAGAAATTGACTGTTGTTTTTTATTACTATTATGTGCTGTATTAATTAGTTCCCCTTCGGTTGGGGAACTTCAGTGCCATGAATGGGAGGATTCGTATCAGAAGCCGCTTATCTGGAGAGTATTGAACGGGCCAATGAATGAAATTAATTGGCAGCGTAAGCTTGCGCAGGTGTGCGACATCTGCAATCATCTCAGCATATAAGCACACCTGAAGCCAGCAGACGCCATCCTTTTCGCTTCAGATCCTTTCTGAGTGAGTCGATGAGGGTTCCTCTTGCTGATCAGCACTTCAGAGCGAACGAGTGTGTCTCCCGGTCCAGAGTGGGTCTTCGCGGTGGCAGACGGTCGAGCTGGGTTACTCCCTTGCCTGCGGTTCTTTGGGTCCGGTCCTCCAGAGCGGTGCGTATAGT